AGAAACTGCATTTTTTTTATCAATTAGATTGAGCGAATCATTCATTTTCTTATGACATCTTTTCGAAATTATTCAATTGTTTTTATGAATTTCAACTGATCTCTATTGAAGATGATCACACCATCATTCATCGCATGATCAATAACTGCTGTATACTTTTCATATTTTCTGCATACACATACAAAATAAAACTAGCTAAATGAATTGAAACACCTGTTGTTGACGAAAAGTATTTTAAAAAGTTCAATTTAACATTGAAAATGATTGAGACAATTCTATTTATTACTTGTTTTCAAAAACACAATTATTTCTATGCAGCCAAAAGTAAAAAACTTCGATTCGTTTTTTTTGGTTTTCGCTTTCTTAATGATCTACACAAATATTAACCAGCATAACAACGTTCAATAGTTAATACTATTTTAAGAGAGCAGGAAATTTAAATGAAACCGAATAAAATATCGTAAAGCTAGTGAGATATAAGACATAAGAATGACATCGAATGATTTTTAAATCATAGTTTTATGGAGTTTATTCTCACAAAAAGAACTAGCTGTGATTTTTCTGATTAGGAATCCACTTGAATACAATGTTGGTTTGTTTTAATCGGATCTACAACTGTAAAGAGTAGGGATGCAACGGTGACGATAACGATAGGTCAGTTATCAGCCCAAGACAGTTTTCACTGGTCTTCACGAAGAAATGAGTTTTTTGGAGAAACTAATGATTTTTCATAAAAAATTGACGAAAGTAAATCGGCGTCGGAGGATCCGAATTTGCAATTAGTCTTTCGGGATGAGTGTCAGATGCGTGAATGTGAGTGTGACAGAAAAAAAGACCCACACTCACAGCTCACACTCTAGCCCTCACTCTCGATGATGGCAATATCTAGTGATCTACGGTTTTCAACGCTCAAAAGAGGAAAATTCTAGACATTTTCTTGTCTTATAGAATATAAGACAAAATTATTTTAGAAGCCATTACGATCGCAAAACATTGGAAAAAAATGCATAGAAACAGTGCTTCGTTTCGATGTAGTTTTAATTTCCACACACGCTTCAGATAGAAAGACTTCGGATCAACAGTTTAAAGCACGATATGATTATCTTCGCATATCTCAATATTGAGCAAAAAAATTCAGATATCTATTCAATCAAATTCTATGAAACTCAGTTGTTTTGCGAAGATGATAGGTTGTAAAGTAATTTAATGTTATATAGTATTAGACAAAACAGTGTCCAAAGTTCTCCTCTTTCGATCGCTGAAAACTGCAGGCCACTAACTATTGCTGTTCTCGAGTTATTGAGTCTATACCCATTCCTATTTAATTCTGACGTGGACATCAACAATTTGTAGATTATTGACCATGATGGTTTCGAATATTACCATAAGAAATTCTCTTAGGTCTTTATATATCGATTTTATAGAAAGCCGGCTTTCCAGACTACCAAACTTTTTGTTCAAAAACTTTTTTTTTCATCTATCTAAATTATAGAACATGGAAAATAGCAACTTTCACTGTTATAAACCGTTTTTTTTTTGCATTTACTTAAAATTCATTTTTGGAAAACAGAAAAGATTATTATTGTATAGACAACTTGATATGCTCCATAATTTGAGTAGATCACAAACGATTCTGGCAAAAATTTTTATTCGTCTAGACAATTGGTAGATAAAGACCTAAGGGGATTTCTCATGATTATATTTGGAATCAGCTTGGTCGATAACTTATAATCCAATAGCTTTTTCATGAGAAAATGATTGATCAGTTGAAAACGTTCTCTCATGACACATTTAAAATCGGTTGTTAAGTATTTTATGTTATCATGCGCAAAAACATATATGCTATTCTTTTATTACAAACATGTTTTTATGCATCATTTTGATTGTCTAACATTATATATTAATTGATTTTGAATCATCTACAGTTAATCATAGATACAATCTAACCATAAAAAGAACAGTCAAAACACTAATTACACATTTGTAAAACAGATATTGTAATTGATCAATACTGTTTCTGGCTTGTAATTTTTATGATATATAGCCTTGAATGATTTATTCCTAACCTTTAATATACATTATCATTAATCTAATAACTACAATTAACATATATTTAATGATATTTAGTTGAAAATTAGTTTGCCATTATCAATATTATTGTTTTTTTTTTGTCAAGCTTGATATTCTATTCCAGATTAAATAATCCATATAAAATAAGAGATTTTCTTCAATAATGTAATCATTCAAAGAGTTAGTTCATTGTATTGTTTAAAAGATGACAAAAGAAAAGCATAATTTTTTTTAAAACAAATCATTGTCGTTATTCATCGGTATTTCAAATATGATATTTATAGTTTATTCTATAGTTGTTAGTAAATTAATGAGCTGTTCTATACATCAACATAAACAAAACCAGATTGTTTATATGAATAAATTATACTTCCATTAACATTCCTTTTTTCTCTGTAATCTCTATGGCGTTTTTTGTTCGTACATTTTTGATAATCGGAAATAATCGATTTTCAATTATTTGAATTTTTATAGAATTTTATTCAATATTACTAAAATTTTGCCTCATTCAATAAATGCACTTTCATTATCCGTAGGGTTTTGATTCAATTATTAAATGAAAATTATAAAATGTTATTTGAACTACTTGTAATGTTGACCTTATTATTACAATAGCTTGTTATATGTAATACAAATAGATTTCAAATTGATTTTATTATTCTTTTCGTTCATAAAATATGAAGCTTTATAAAACAAGTTTCATAGAAAAGAAGAAAAAAAAAAAGTATTTCTAAATGTAGAAATTCATATTATGAAAGTAAAATTATTTAAATGTACAAATATTAAAAGAAAAGGTTATAACGTACAAATAAAAGTTCTTTTTGAATTGATTGATTGATTGATTGATTGATTGATCGATTGTATTGAACAAAACCAAGATATTCGTATATGATTTTTTTTTTTCATAATAAAAGTTTGTTTTTCTTTTTCATTTTATTGTAATAAATTGAACTCGTCTATCATCTATCATAATCATCAATGTATATGCTAGCCTATCTTTACGTGTTCTTAGTGATACACATATGTGAACGTCTCTGATCTGTACAGTTAGTTAGACTACAATTTATCAGGCTTGACTGATCGATCATTGTCCGGATACGAGAAAAAGAAGACTAATGTTTATATCTTCAGCTTTACTATACGATGGTTCATTCTTCTTCTTCTTTTCTCTACTTGCTGTACGCGACCGACATATTGATAATGTGCTTTGTGCATATCTCAAAAAATATTTAGCTTGTCTATCATGAGAACAAAGAAATTCATATATATATATGTATGTATGTGTATTCAGTATTCTGTCCTATTTATTCATCATTTTTTTTACATTTAATATCGATAATAATCATTAGATTGAGAAAGAGAATACGTAAGTAGACTTTTTTTTTCTCTTTTCTATATAGAAATAGAACACTAACTTGTCCTTGTCAGTTCTTTTGATGCGAAACAAAAAGACATACAAATATTGGCATGAAAAACTTTAATACACAGACAAAAAGTAAGTATGACACAAGTTTCCGTTTTCAAGGTAAATAACACACATATATTATATTTTACAAGAAATAACGATAGTAAAGAAACTATACTATTGCAGTTGTTCTCTTTCTTGTCCTTTAACTTTATATTGCATCATTGTCAATATTACTATTCTGACAATGCAAAGAATATAAATATAATATTACGAGAATAACGGCCAAAGGTCGTTCTGGCAATGAACTTAGCGATGATGGTCATCGATCTATCTAATTGAATCTGTATGGTATTAGTTGGTAGGAAATACAGACAGAACAGAACATAGAAGGGAGCATCTCGTTCTTTTATGTTTTCTTTTTTTTTTTTTTTTGTTTGTTGCTTCTTATTATAACTCGATTGAATATTCCTTTTTTTTTTCTTCGTTCGATTCGATCCATTTATATTTTTTTTCTTATACATTAGACAGACAGATATGCACACATATATATATATATTGGAGCAATACTATATGAGATGGAGAGTACCATCGTCTGCTTCGTATGAGTATACGGAAGCAGTAGCCTTTGTGAGATTGGGACGGGAAAAAAGGAGAGAGAAAGGAAGAGAAGAAGAAGAAGAAGAAGAAGGAGAAGAAGAAAAATCGATGCATTTGCCTATTGTCGTTGTTATATGCACATATATATACATACATAGTGACCGATCGAGGGCAGTCGGACAACTATAAAATTCAATTTTTGTATTTCTTCTTCCTTGCTACACGTAAGTGAGATTGATTGTATTCAGTAAACGAAGTGAGGTCAATGTCATCAATATGACTGGCAACAGTACGTTGAATTACGTCTACGTGCTTCTTATCGTTCTGCTTCATACATGAAATTAATTTGGTGAACTTCTGTCGATTTTTTTTCTCTCTTTACACACACACATAGATGATGTAAGTTTGGCATTTTTTTTTGTGCATACATTGCATACATTCTTTTTTTTTCTCTTGGCCTACATCTGGAAGTGTAGGTAAACTATTAACATAGACAGACGAACACTATGAATTGTCTTATCATGATTGTCTATTTGGACGTTAGTTCATTTCTATGTTTTTTTTTCTTCTCTTTTCTACTCTACATAATCATATCGGCAGTAGTAACGCCAGAGACAATATACAACACATTTTGTCTTTATTCTAATGTAAACAAAATCATCGTATCGTCGTCTATTACTTTAAGATTAAACAGGAATCTTTTCCTATCGATTGATTTTTTTTACTAAGCGATGATATCTTTAAATGATGATAGATATATATAGATAGATAGAAACAACATGTTCTTCTGCATTACGTCTATAATAACGAAGTAATGATATCATTTAGTTTATTTATCATTCTATGCCTAGAATAACTTGTCTTACATTAAAAATAAATTCCTCGTATTGTTGTTGTTGTTGTTTTTTTTTCAGATACAGGTACGATGACATCAACTGTATCAAATCAACTTCCTCCACGTACAACAACAAGTCATCGATGGCCTAGAAAATGGGCAACACTTGGTGGACGTGGTTCACCATCAACATCAATACCTTCATCAAATATTAATGATTCTGATTTTACTGAGAAAACAAATGGTCATATAAATGGTAATGGTCATCATCATCATCAACAACAACATCGATATTCAACATCTTTATTTCGTAAATCATCAACAATAAGTCGTACAAATGGTGGTACAACAATAAATAATTCCGATTTAAATAATGAAACACCATCATTAAAAAAATCTCGTTCATTAATAAATGTTTTACGTTCAAAACTAAATTCACCAGCTGTACTTCGTCGTTTTCGTACAAAATCACGTGAAAATTCAAAACAAATTATAACAGAAATTAATCATGATGATAAAAATAATAATAATGATAATGAAAAAATTTCAACACAATTAATAAATGATGATAATAATAATCATAAAAAAATTCGTAAACGTGATCCATCACCAATGAAACGTTTTACAAGTCGTTTAGCACAATTAACACGTAGTTCAACACATACATCTATTGAAAATGAACAACATAATATAAGAAAATCTTCATCACCATCACCACCAATACATAATAATAATAAAGATCAAGTTGATCATATAAATGCATGTTATGATGAAATACGTGCTAAATATTTTGATAATAATAATAATAATACAAAACAAAAAAATCTTATATCACAATATTCAAATGTTCCATTAACAAATGAACGTTTTAAAGATATTTTATCAACAACAACAGCATCATCAATTGAATATTATGAACGTCAAAATAATGATATACATAATCGTTCATTAAGTACAATATCAATGAATGGTTCATTATTAAGTCATGATTTTTTAAATAATTCTCAACAATTTAATCAATCATTAACACCAATAACATCAGATGATCCATTACTTCAAGCACGTAAACAATCAAATATTAAATTAAATTGTATGTTAAGTGGTTATGGTTTTACAACACCATTTGGTAATCATGAAAAAATCTTAGGTCAAAATGATTTATTTAAATTTCATCATTATCATGATGTTGGAAAAAGAAAATTTGATTTTAATTTTACAAATAATAATAATCGAATGTATTCAAGTTTAAGAACACGACCAATGAGTAGAAGTATTGATAGTTTTAGACGAGCAACAACTACAAGTATGTTTATTTCTTAATAAAAATTATATTTATGTTTGTTTTTTTGTTTAGTTGAAAATGAAATAATACCAACAAATTCAACAGGTATCGAACAGTTTTTACCAGTTGGAAAATATTTTATTGTGGAATGTGATCAGCACTTATTCACTTGCATAACTGCGGCTAGATATAATAGGAATGTGATTTTAGTTTTTAAAGAATATCCAAAATTTGTAATGTACTCCACTGTTTTTAATTCATCGTGATGAATCAAATGATGATATTTATTTTTAGGCTCTATATAATCTAACACTATCTCAACATTTGGAAAATATCGAGATAATTTCTCCAGCTGGTCACAGATGAATTGGCTAAAATCGGAAATCTTAGAAAAAGTTTTATAATTCTCGAAGAGAACAAGCGCAGTATGTCAGTCTGAAATAGATCGAGAGAGAAAAATTTTTTATTAATTGATCCTATTAAAAATAGTGCAGTAGATATTTTTTTAAAATCAGTTGTATTTATGGTGGATCTATAATGCTAATCAAGCTCTATGTGTCACTAAGAATGAGAGTTATCAAGTATTTTCTTATTATGATTTTGTTAACATAGCACACAAAAACGAACTCTGTGTTTATAAACTTTGAGTCAACTGCTGATTGGTAAATCTTTTCACTCTAATATCTATGTCATTATTTAACTATCGTAGAGTCATTAATCTTCAGATAGCCTTGGAGCTACCTTCATGTTAAATATATAGATTATAAAATTTCGATATGATGATAAGCAAACATTTGAGTAGATCAAAAAGAATTTTTGACGAATAGTTTGGAAAGCCAATATATGAAGATTTTTCATGTTACTATTCGAAAATTAGTATAATCGATAATCTACAATTCAATACCTATAAAGGACTGAAACTAATTATTTTTCATATGTATCGTTATTAAGAAGATTTTAATATAAGTTCAAAAATCTACAGAAATTTTTTTAAATATAATGAGATTAAAGAAGAAACTATCTATAATTTAAGAGTAGTGACATAAACTAATGCACAAATGGATGATTGATTTATAGAATAGAACAGATTTCAGTTGTAAAAATTGAAGTGCCTATTTTTCCATGATGCCCCAAAAGCAAATGATTAGTCTAATAAAATTCTTTTAGGCTATAGTCTATACATATGCTTATTGATTTCGATTATAAAGAATCTATCTATAGATCGTAACGCTGTTTGTCAAGACAAGGACACGTTAACATACGGCGAAACATATTTAAGTGTACCCGTCAGAAACGATATGAGACGTAGCGTATCTTATAAAGAATTTTAATGGATTTCCTTGTAAGGCAAACACCTTCAAGGATTTTCGAAATTTCAGTCATTAAGAAGTATAAAATTGAAAATAGTTAATCTTTAGAAGATGTATTAATTATATGATTTCTTTTTTGTTTTGTTTTAGTTGAACCCGATAATAATTTTCGTATTGATGATGAAAATTTCTCGAATAATCCTATTGATAATGAACTTGTCATACGTGAAGATGGTGATATAATCGAATCAGAATCAAAAGTATATTCATCAAAAGTTCATGTTACACCAGCTGTTTCACTTCATGTAAAAACATTTATATCATCATCTTCAAATGTACCTGATGAAAATAAAAATATTTTAAATGATAAATCTTATGATGAACATAATGATGAATTTGAAAGAAATTTTTTACGTGCTGTTGATCGTGCACTTGGTGTTGTTAATAATGATGAAAATGATTTATTACAAACTGTTTATGATATACCAATGAAAACTGATAATTCAAATATGAATCTTATGGAAATAACTGAACGTGCACTTTCAACATTTAATAATACAAATATTTTTATGGTAAGAAATCAAAAAAGAAAACAATGATATTTATATAATAAAATAATATTAATTCTATTTTTAGGATAATGAACGAAAAAATGGTAAGAAAAATTGAATATTATTTTTATAGAACTTACTAGGGAATATGTTTTCGATTGAAGTGATATTGATTGTTTTACTGGATTGTGAGCTTAGCGTGAGATGTTAATAGAAAATTCAAAAAGAAGGAATTTTCATTGGAGCTTCTGCTTATAAATAAATCTCATAGTCCATAGGATATCCTGCTCGTGTCAGGCAATTCTTTATCGAGATATTGAATATTCATACCAACGACTGTTTCTTCAGTATTGAGTATGCTGAGAAGAAATTGCCTGAAACTTTGAGAATATTCTAAAAATTATGATACTTTTGGATAGAAGTTCAAATAAAAATTTCTTGTTCTTGATTTTTCAATAAGCTGAAAATCCAATAAAATGATCACTGAGTTCTACTTATTGGTAAAAGATAAGTTCGATTGATGATTAATAGTTCAACATGTTTCCTTTTTAGGTAAAAAAAAAAAATTTCAAATTCAGTTTAACTTTATAAATTACTTAAATGAGATAAAAATTTTTTTACTCGTTCGTATTTACAAGTGTTGATTGTACTTCTGACATGCATGACCGGAACTAATTTTTTTTTCAAGATTTCCTAAATGCATTAAAACTCAAATTCATCTTCCGATAGGCTAAATGAAAAATTTGAATACTTATAGATTCTCGGAAGTACTGTTAAAATGCAAATGTATTCTCAAGATCAACTAGTCATATTATATAAGATTCCATATGTCATTTCTATTCCTTAAGAGAAAAGATGATTATAAGTTTTCTGATAACTGTTTACAATGAGATAATCTTGTATGGTTTTATTTAAATAGAACCAATGGATGATGAACATTGTATTGATGGTGCTGAATCACCAAATGTTGAATTATTTGATCGTACTGGTGAATTATTTGATACAGAAAATGTTCATTGGCAAGCATCTGCTGTTTATGATGATCAACCACCGATTACAAATCATGTAATTGCTAATTGTAATGATGAAAATTCTATTGATGATCATGTATGGTCAATTGTTGATGATTTAACACGAAAAACTGATGAATTTTTACTCGATGAACCATCACAGGTAAGTTCAATAAACAACTAACATTATTAAAGCAAAAAAAAAAATAATAATAATAATAATAATAAAACTACTCAATTATTTCACACTCGATATCAAAAACTAAATATAAACATCGTACGCACGTTATTCATTTAAATGGTGATGGACTCTTTTGTTCTTTTTTTTTCTTCTTATACTTCAATCTTTGCATGATGATCAATGTCTATATTCAGTGTTTGTCGTCAGTATTTTGTTCTTCTCTCTCTCTCTCTCTTTTTCGTCAGATTGTTGTGTACCTGTGTGTAACTCTCTTTCTTGTTTTTGTGTTTTTTTTTTTCTCTGAACACCTTTCTTTTCTTTAATTAATTAACACGAAAATTGATCATATATATATATATATAAATAATCGTAAAAGAATTGCTTGTATCACTCTATCGTTTTGTTTTGTTTTCTTTTTTTTCTTTCTATCTTGTTCTGGTGTTTCGAGTTAACCGTTTGCTAATAAAAATGATGAGAAATGATGCATGTGCTAATCTTAAAAAAAAAAGAAATGAAGCAAATGATAATAGGACTATTTTTAACTTATTAACAAATTGATAAATATATTTAGTAAATATTTATGTTTGAATATGATATTAGATAAGATGTAGTTTAGTAATTTTTTTTTGGTTGTTGTTGTTGTATTAAGATTACACTTACATTGAAACTCAATAACTATGTTTGAATATTTCAAACTTATTGATTATGAAGTATAGGTAATAAACTCTAGAGAACGATGTCTCTGTTTTTGACAATCAAACAGAGAATGATTTGTTGAAACGTATGGGTTAATAAGAGTTTGAAAGAAAACTGAAAAATAACACAAAACATTTTCGATTGACTCTAGTACGTCATTTAACAACGTTATTCTCTAATATCACTATGGTTATGATGGTTGGTTAATTAATGATTGATTAAGAGAAATAAAACAGAAGTCAGTGTAGATTTATTCATATAACCTGTCCATACTTTTATCTGAACAAGAAAAATAACATATATCTCTCAAAAATGACTAGAAGTAAGAGAGAACAGCGAACAAGTTTGCTACATAACTTTGTCTAACAGACACATTGCCAAGAAATGTTTTCCAAAGAGGATTTATTATAATAGAAAACTAAAATTCAATGCATATATATTGCTATAAGGCAGTTCTGTATAGTATTGAACATCCAACTCTTGTTGATATAGTATAAAGCTGGCCATCATTTTTCAATGTAGTTCTTGTCACTTGTTGAGTAATGACATATCACACCTCTACTAACGACGAGCTATTGAAGTTTAATCGAGAAGATGAAGAGCGTGTCAAATGAGTTTTTTTTCTTAACACCTAATATAGTCGATATACAGATATCGATGATAATATGAAATTAAAAATATATGAAGAGTAATCAATTGCATGAGAAATAAAATTATTTCCTTCCAGTTAGCTCATTAATTTCAGTAATAGATTTTTAATATTTTTCCGTTTATTTTGTCATATAAGAATATTGATGCATGATGATTATATTATTAAATAGTCATCTAATATTTCAACTACAAAGAAAAAAAAACTAAAACATACTAATAAATAACTTTTGATCTTTTCTTTCTCATTCTCTCTTTTTTTGTTTGGTACATGAGTGGTAAGATCAGTGAATATTCCTCTATAATCTGGTTCATTCTATTTGCACATGCATACGCGTGATAGACATAGAGTGCCATCGGGGGAAATTGAATCCAATATATTTATTTAATATAGATTCCCTCTGGAATGAATAAATTATTCTTCATTATAGTATATATGTATGTTTTTTCTTTTCGTTTGCTAGTGCCCTCCATATATTATTTTGGATGGACAATTGATGATGACGATTATGAAAAAAGAAAAAAAATTTCATTCGTTGATTTTTTATGTTTTTTCTCTTTTTTTTTTCTTCATTTTATAGTGTCAAGTTTGTTATGGTAGTCTTATATAGAAGAAATGTCGAGTGATGATGACTCATGTTTTCTTTCTTTGACTAGTGTTGTTTTTTCTCTCTCTCTCTCTCTCTCTCTTTGCGCATTCTTTTTTTTTTCTTTTATTTAAAGCACGCACATATATATTCAGTGAAATAAGCCAGCCAGTTCCGAGAGAATAAGTTCACATATATACTAGTTTCGATCACATATATATATATATATACATCGTCATCTTTCTTTTTCTTTTGTTCATTTCATCATCATCATACTGGTTGCGTCCTCTCTCTTCTCATTAGGTTACTTTTGTTGTACACAGTCTTCTTTACTAATAAAATGGTAAGCATAAATAAATTTTCTATTCAATTAAATTGCATTAAAATTTTATTTTGTATGTATATTAATGTTATTTTCCTTAATGAGAAGAACATATTCGATCATTTTATTTTGTTTGTATAGGCTTATAAAAAACAGCTTAGCTAGTGGTTTTTTTTTCATAATCATCTTTAAATATGTCGAGTTCAATAATAACAACAAGAGCTTGCCTATTAATGAATGTTGATTTCTTTGAATAAGTATGTCTCCTATTTAGAATGGCCAACAATTTTTGGCCTTATTGGACAATGAAGAAAAGACGATAAAATCAAAAGCAGACAGTTATAATAAACTTCTTCAAACTGATGATAGTCGTCTAAATGATGATGGTAAATATCCGTTAATTTTCTATGTCATAAAAAGCAAAAAAAAAAAAAAAAATTCATTTTGTTAAAGTTCGTTCTGATATAAATGCTGTGATTGGTGAAGTTAATTTATTACTCAGAGGTAAACTTAAACAATTTCGTGGTTTATGTCAAGCAAATGTAGTAAGTAAAAGAAAAAAAATTCGCTTTTTTTTTTTTTTTTTTTTGAATGTTCTATTTAATAGTCAAAATCAAGAACACCTGCTGGTGAACCAACACCACTTGATAGTGATCTTGAAGGTTTTTGGGATATCACATATCCATTAATTGATAAAGTTAAGATCAAATTTACAAAACTTGATACACGTAAAGCTAAACAATGGGCTTCAATTGAAGATGAATATGATCCAAATGATGGTATAGAATTTTTATTTTTGAAAATATTAATTTTTTGTATTATTATTATTATTCTAGTTAATAATCGACCTCGAATTATTGATGAACGTCTTAAACAACTTCAACCACATCAAAATAAATCAAAAATATCAACAACAAAATCCGCTCATGATGATTTAAAAAAATTAATTCAAGAACGACGAAAAGCAGCAGCTAATGTATCGAATACAACAAATCAAAATCATGATGTAGAAATATTCGTTACACATAAATAATAATAAAAAAAAAAAAAAAAGAAGAAAATATTATTCATTTCTTATCGTCTTGTGCAATATATTCTTTTCCTATAAACATTATTAACATTTCTTTTTTTTTTTTTTTTTTATTTAATTATCACTTTTCTTTTTTTTTTTTTATTTTTTTATTTATGTTGTTTGTACTACAAACAATGAAAATAAAAAAAATATTATTCTTTTTTTTTGTTTCTTTGTCTTTCCTGTCAACAAAATATAAACAGGAAGAGAAGAACAAAGAAAAAAAAAGAAGACCAGAGAAAATACATGTACTCTAGGATAATGACATTTTTTTTTCTTCTATCTCTTTCTCTCTCTTGTCAACAACTATAATAAACAAACGACTACAATATTACACATTAGTAACTCAATGAAAGTACCGGCAAATGTACTTTTGTCTTTATCTAGTAGTAATAACGATCATTGTCAATTGTCTGTATACAATTGTTTTAACTCGTTCATCAACAAACAATGATAGCAATCGAATTGATCCAATTGTACGTAATATTAAACATATTGTTGATGAAGCTCTTCAAGATGATACATCCAATGATATTGATAATGAATTTTTAATTGAACAATTAAGTCGAATACTTGAACAAGAAGAAGGTTTTAGATTAGTTGATCGTAAACAACGATCAATATATTCAACTAATAATGATGAAATAGGAATTTTTGATGGATCAGGAGATCTTGAAAGTGAAGAATTACCACCAGTCTATTCAAATATGAGTATCGTAGCATTTACAATGGTGAGTTATTTTCCATGTTAATTCAATTAATCATTCTTAACATATATATATATATTGGCGTAGGAACCATCTGGACTTTTTTTACGCTATCTGTATTTGGGATAGTTAATAGATGTTTTGCTAGTATTTTTTGTTGTTGTTTTTTTTTTGTTACTACTGTTTTTCAGTTTCTAGTATATCACTAGTTAGTTCCAAAGAAAATAATCGAGTATTTTTGTCTTTCATGCGAATAAAAAAAAGAATAAGATAGAAATCAGTATGATGTTTATTACTTTCGTCATATATCTTTTTTTTTTCTTAAATGTCAAAGCTTGCTTATATACGTCGTTGTTTCTTGATAAATAAACAATTGTGATAGAAGATTATGTCCATGTATTCGTACTATAAGTCGTCCACAACGATTGAATAATTACTTTGTTGCTATTGTTGCCCTATACATTTATTATTAATATACACATAAGAACATTTTCTCGTGATACTAATATATTCGATTAGAGTGAGAAAGAGAAAAAAGGAAACTTAGACGAACAAATTTCTTATACTCCATATGTCGAATGATTTTTTATTGATTCAATATTGTTCATGTTTATTTTATTTATTATAGTCATATTTTTTCAGGTATATTAATTATTATTTTCTTTTCTTTTTTATTTTGATTATGTAATTATCTAAACAAAAAAAACTAATATTTTTTTGTTTGTATTTTTCTATTCTTATTATTATTCTTTTTTCATAAATAGAAACAGGTTCAATTCAATTATGAACATATCAAATAAATATTGTCTTTTATATATTTTCTCAATATGTATAATCATTATTTAGAAAATCAAGATGAATTTGTTTATATAATATGTTGTTGATAGATTTCTCTTAAGCTTATGTTATTCTCTCATTTATATGTATTGATGTTGTAATCATACAGCTTAATCTTATATGCATAATTATAAATAGCTCATAGTTATAACTATAGACAAGCCTGATAATTATCATTATTTCTATATTATAGGGAACTACTACAACTGCTTTCGCTAAATATACACCTCGTGTAAGTTAAACAAATGAAGAATAATCAATCGTTTGTTTTTGTATTTGTTTTTCTAGACATATTCTCCATGTCGTTGTGAGAAGGTAAAAATTTATATAATAAGAAAAAAAAGAAAACAACAATAAACTTAATTTTAAGGGTGAACGCGGAGAGAAAGGTGATGCTGGTATATGTCCGGCAGGTAAAAATTAATAGTATATTAATGTACTTTTATTTAATTTTAATTTTGAAAGATTGTACTGTGAAATATAATACAGAAACAAAAGATTGTCTTGGTTCACAAATTAATATACAACATCTTGCTCAATCAATTCGTCAATTAATTGTTGATAGCAAAGTAGAAGCAAAAAAAAGAAATTCTCTACTTTTATTAAATAAATAATTATAAATTAATTTTCATAGAAAATTGCTTATCGAAATGCTCGAGCAGTACCTTGTGTATGTACACCATCATCATTATCATCTACAACAGTATCATCAATATCTACTCCATTTACTCTGGATTATAATACTGTAAAAAAAAAAAAAAGATGAATCATAAAATTTTCTTTTTTATATTTTAGTATATGCGATTAAAAGGTGATAAAGGTGATATTGGTACATCATGTTCACCAACATGTACACAATCAATACAGGTTAGAAATGAATTCATTTAAAAACAAAACAAAAAATATAGAAACTTTTATTCATTCATATAGACTAATGTACGAGTATTTAAAACCTTACAACAAGCACTCGATACTTCATCAACTTATCCTGATCATACATATATTCATATTGTTAATGACTATGGACGTTTACAAGGTGTTTATATTCGAGTTCATGGTCAATTAATACCATTACGATTAGAAAGCGATGTATTTTATCTACATTCTTTTATTTTTAATTCATTAATGATTTTTATAGAGTTCATATTATGTACAAGTACAAACATTACCACCGACAACATTATCCAATCCGAAACCTGTAAGAATTAATTTTAATGATTGTTCAAATACATTATATTTTATTTTATTTTTCAGCGATGTACTACTACCCTTCCATGTAAAAGCGTACGTATTGAAATCCCTTCCCCCCTCCCCCGCCTCCTTCACAGAATAGAAGTCTATCGTATCCAAATGAGTATTAATAAATAAATGAGTTTCTTTCGTGAGCCAAATAATATGTACTAGTAGACATTAATGAGAGACAGCTGTTTAGAAATAGATTTATTTTAATAGTATTCTGTCATGAGATTATATATAGTCTAGACATGAAATAATGTAAATTTTTTATTAGAAAGTCTTTACTCTCAAAAATCGATCTTGAGATAAATACATTTAAATCGTATGAAATTTTTAGTTGTATGTCATAATGTTTTCAAACATTGAATTACTATTCTATTATGAAATTAATATTAAAATTCAATAAATAAATATACTCTTTATATTTAGCTTCATATATTTGCTGTTGGTCCTCGTGTACGTAAAATGTGTTATCCAGAACGAACAGATTTATTATGTTCGAAATTATCTGATTATGATGATTTATGTGATCATATATCTCAAAGTCAAGGTTTAACAGGTTTTTATCGAGCATTTATGTCAACAAGAACACAATGGTTATCAAATTTATTTACTGGTATTTGTGTTAGTGCAACAATTGTTAATATGCATGTTAGGTTTTTTTTTTTTTTTTTTTTCTATAAAAATTATTTTTATAAATATTTTTTTTTGTTTTTTGAAGGAGAAAATTTTATTTGACACAATTGAAGATATATTTCAACAAAAACCACCACAAAATGAAATTCTTGATGTACAAGGATTAAAACCTCAGTAAGTTTCATATTTTGATTCAAATAGAATCATCAATCGAAATAACAGTACATTCCTATCAGTCATAGAATTAAATATTTGAATTTATAGATATTCAAATATCCATATAAGACTTCATTTATCTATTAAAATGATCAATGTATTCATTTTATTGTAAAGATGTGATATTACTGTGCACCTCAAAAGTTTTTCCTTCCCCCCTTTTGTATTTTTTAGTTTTCATCACTAGACCTTTTTAATTTATTAACTTCCTATATATAGAAAGAAAGCCTAGAACGCGCTGCATCTTATGGTATATTTACATTGAACAACAAATACAGTTTGAAGTATAAAAAGTGTATTTGAAAAAGATGTTACATTTTTTTTTACTGTACAAATTGATCAAAATCTTAAAATGTATGAAATGTAACTAAGTTTTAGAATAATTTTTGATCGAAACGAGATAAAAATCTGCGGTTTTCACCGTTAGAAAAAGGACATAAAGATGCATCGAATTCTATACTTCGCATGTCTTTGATAAGTTTTGTTAAGATCTTTAATGAACTTTTCTTAAAAAATCGACTTTTTCATATTTTTTGAAAAAAAACTTCACTTTATCCTCTATAGAAATCTCGGTTTTTGAAGAAAAGTTCGCTGAAGACCCTAACAAAACTTATCAGAGTCATGCGAAGTATAGAATTTGATACATCTTTATGTCCTCTTTCTAACGGTGAAAACCGCAGATATTTATCTTGTTTCAATCAAAAGTTGTCTTAAAAACTAGTTACACTTCATATATTTTAAGATTTTGTGAACAATTTTTGCACCAGAAAAAAAATGTAACGTCTTTTTCTAATACACCTTTTATACTTCAAACTGTATTTGTTGTTCGATGTAAATATGCCATAAGATGCAGCGCGTTCTAGGCTTTCTTTATATATATAGAAAGTTAATAAATTAAGAAGGTCTAATGATGAAAACTACAAAATTTAAAAGGAGGGAGGAAAAACTTTTGAGGTGCACAGTATATTAGGCAAAACAGTATTGTATTTAGTGTAGGTTCGGTGTCTTTCTGAAGATCATATTAGCCTTTTTGGATTTGTGTTTCCGGAAGATAGATGTTTGTTCTTCTAGAGTTTTAAATCGTCACTCCAAAAAAAGAGAATTTGAATTAAACATCTATTCTTATTGTAATCTTAGACATTAGCTGTCATATGTCTTGTAAAACAATTTTTTTTTTGGTAGATCTTTCTCATCTTATTAATGATCAACTGTCAGTTATCATGTGATCTATAGATCAATTTTACTTTACACACACATCTCTATGTTTGTTTATTTATCGTTCTACGCTATAGTATTGTATTTGTAAGAAAAACAGATGTATAGAAATCAATTTTAGTTCGGGTCTTGGTGACCGAAGCTAAAAATATAAAAATGTATATGACAGAATACTATAACTAAAATAATTATTCGAATTAGAATCTAAAAATTTTAATTAAATTTTCTATGATATTTAGTAAATTATGTTATCAATTCATGAGAAATGACTCAAAAAGCAAAGTAATATTTGTTCAGTTGACAAGGGAGATCTCCTTAGATGTTTTCTTTCAATGTCAACGATATTAGATCCGTATGCTGGGAACATTATTCTAAGAAAAATTGTAAGAAAATTTAAGCTTTCTTCGAAATTTATGACCATTTTACTGATTTTTCCACTTACAAGGAAATATTCCCAAGTGATCCACTTCGTTCATACCTCATTCGATAGAGTATATTAAAATAAGAAAAAGTCTAAAAGGATTCATGCCCTTAGCCTACTGATGTAAGAGTTATGACCGTTTTATTGTGAGCCAGGTATTTCGGAAAAACTTAAAATGAAGAATTTCAAGCTAAAATTTTATCTATAGATAGATTTTATAGTCATTAGAATAGTCCTTAAAGTTAACTAAACTGGATTATTGTGCCCTCCTATGGTAAATAGCTGTTTATTTTTTTTTTGAAAATTGAATAACTCGCCAAAGGTATGTTCGTTTTTGTTGAAACTTTCAGGACTATAAAATCTATCTATAGATAAAATTTCAGCTTGAAACTCTTCATTTTGAGTTCTTCCGAAATGCCTGGTTCACATTAAACCGGTCATAACTCTTCATCAGTAGGTCAAGAACAAAAATCCTTTTAGACTTTTTCTTATTTCAATATACTCCATCGAATGAGGTATGAATGAATCAAAACGGAGCGGATCACTTGAGAATGTTTTCTCGTAAATGAAAAATTCAATAAAATGATCATAACTCAAGAAGAAAATGCTAATGGTACAATTCTTCCTAGAACTTTTATCTATACTTATGGGTTGTAATAATCAACAAAATATGAGTTCGAATGAAGATTATCAATTCTGAAAAGGTCCTCTTAATAGATTACTTTTTTTTTGTTTCTATAGATTTCAATATTGGTGGCATGGTACTTATGTCAATGGAACAGCTTCAAGTGATACATGTAAGAATGAAAAAAAAAACGCAATAACATATATATCGTTTTGTTAATTGATTATTAGTATTATTTTTATTATTATTATTTATTATCTAGGTCATGATTGGAGTCGACAAGATTCAAGTTTATCTGGTATTGCAAGTCGTATACCAGATGGTAAACATGGATTATTTCATCAACAATATACATGGCCATGTTCAATAAGTGACACAAATATGGGAATTTTTTGTATTGAAACAAATTGTCAAAGAATAAATTATCATTAATATTAAAAACGAATTATATTCGAACGATAATAAGGATTAAAAACATGAATATATATTTGTGTATTTCGAAATAATCGTCTTTGAGGATAATATATAGGTGTACGAGATTGTAAACATGGTAAAAATTGTCGTTGATTTTGATTTAATCTATAATCAAGATATTGTTGTCTTTTAAATTGATTTTGAAATGAAATTTTTGGTTGACATTCAGATTTTGAACGATGAACACGTGTTTGTTGTTGTGTATTATTTGTTAAATGAATATTTTCAATTATTGTTTTTGGTTGATTTCGTCGATTTTTTTTTATACGACGATATCGAGAAGATGGTTGAGGTCGATGTTGATCATTTTGATGAATAAAATGTGATGGTGTTGATGGATGATGATATGAATCTTTTTTATGATGAAAAATTGATGGAGTTGATGGAGGAAGATTTTCATTCATTGGTAAAACATATGAATATGGTGGTTGATTATGTGTTGGATGTTGATATTTATTGAATTTCTAAAAAACAAAATTGAAAAAAACAAATATATATATATAAAAAAAATAAAATACCCAATGAATATTAAATTTTTGTGGAATATCAAAATCATTTGTCATTCGAAAAAAATTTTCTTTATTAAAAATTTGTTGTTGAAATCTTGGTGGTAATTCATAATGATGACGATAATAATTAAATGATTTTTGATTTTGTTTTTTTTCATTTTTATTTAAATTATTATCGAAATTTTTTTGATTATATTTCATTTTAGTTTTTCGATTTTGATTTAAACAAATTGTTGAATTTGATGATATAGTTTTTGATCGTTGATATTGTTCATGATTAGTTGATTGTGATATATTAACTAATGGATAATTGATTTCTGAAGGTTTTTGTTTTGAATTAATATTTTCATTATAAACATTTTGTTCATAAATTTTTGGTTCTTCATCTGGTTCTTCAATAACAATAACACTAAAATAATAAATAAAATTGATTGATTAATAATTAAAAAAAAAAAAAAAAAAGAAACAATCTTACCCAGATTTTTTATTATTTATATTCTGATTTTCATTAACATTTTCATTGTTATTATAAACACCTGTAGCACCATTATTAAATGTTTTTTCAAAATTATTTTTTAAATTTTTAATAAATTTTTTTAATTCATTTTGATTACTAAATTCTTGTTCAACAAATACACGTTGTTGATCACCATTTTTTCCAATATGAACTTTTGTTAATTGAATCTAATCAAGAAAAAAATAAAAAAATAATTTCAATAGAAAAAAAAAACCCAATCAAAGAATATAGTTTTATTTTACAGTAATACGATTATTACTAGTAATAATTGGTTCAGACATATAATAATATGTTGATTTATCTTGAAAATGATATGCTGGTATATGATGATACTGTTGTTGATTTCTTGTCATATTTGGTTTCCATTGTTGTTGATTTGTTAAATCATTAAAATAATATGGACCTGTTCCCATTGAATTAAAACCATTAGACGGCTTAGGAAAATAATCAAAAGTCCGACTAAAATTTACATGATGACTACTTTGATTTGGTATAGGACCTGAATGATAATAAGATGAATTATTTGGCATAAAGAAATGATTTGTTCCATGATTATTATGAAATGCTGTTTGATGTTGTTGTTGTGATTGGGAATAAAATGGCTGATGAAACATAATTGTATATTTTTTTTTAAATGTGTCATGTATTCATCTGATCATTTTCATATGAAGAAACTCGATGTATACATCATTGAACAAAATGAACACCTATATTAATCATTTTAATGTGTATATGCTATACGTTCGGTCAATGGTTGTGTGATGATGGGTGACCGTACAGTCATGTCAACGATGTGCATATGTATCTTATTCAATTTCTCTCACGCTTTTTTTTTTTTCTATCGTTTCGGACTAGATGAAATCAATGTCGATTTGTTTTTTTTGGTATAAAAATGTTTCATGCACGATTGCGTACAATATCGCATGAATATATCTCTTGAGAAAAGAAAAAAAAGAAGACGAACTCATCTCCATCATCATCATCATTATTATTTCTTTCTTGTCATCATGTTAGTCGTTTGATGAAAGTAATATCAAGACAAAAAAAAAAAAAAAAAAAGATATGTTATTTCGATACGGTGTAAAAGAAAAAAATTATGTGAAAAGAAAAAAGAAAAAATGATTAAATATGAAAAATTGTTTATGATAATCAATCCATTTTATATTTGACTTGCATGTCCTATTATAAATAAAAAAAATGATTGATCAATTGTTATTGATATTGATTTAAAGAGAAAATCTACCTTGATGATTCGAATGAGTGTAATTCGATTATCATTTGATAGTTTTAAATCAATAGGTACTATTTCATCTGGACCTTTCATCATTACAGGTATAGAACAAATTATATTTTCATTTATTTGTTCATCATCATTTGTTTCTGTTAAACCTAGTGTAGAACTTGAACAAGACATAACACATGAATATGAATAATCATCATTAGAACCATTGATCCAATCTGATAAAGAACAAAAAAAAAGACAAAGATTTTATTAATGATAATAAATCAATAATATAATTTATACCTTGAATAAACGATAAAATAGCTGATGCTTGAGTATGAACAAGTATTTGATTATGTTCAACACGAGTATAAAGTTCAAAATCTAAAGGAAAAAAACTATATGTAATTTAATTATTTTATGAATAATTTACCTCGATTTTCAACTTCCTTTCCAATAACTTCTTTAATCCATTTCGAATCAGCTAACATATCTGTTGAATTTCTTAAAAATGATCGTGCCCATATAGCACCTTCATAATCAACTGTTTGACAATGACTTGTATCAATAATATATTCACCATTGATATCTCCAATAATATGTAGATCAGTAATATCTAAATCATAGATAAATTTGATTAAAATTTTTGACAATCAATACAAAACTTATTCAAATATTCAATAAACTATTTAAAATAGAAGCAAGTAAATAATAATCGATCATCTGCAGTATACAGCGTATTTTACAATTAAGATCATTAGGACTTATTATATAATAAAAATCTAGATCAGTATCTGTGACATCTCTTTTATAGACGTAAAGGTATAGGAGACTACCCAGAAGCAGTTTCATAAGTTCAATATCTTTTCTACAATTTTCACTAGCTGCAGCTTCAGACAGAAAATCAGCCTCGTTCAATCGCTTGAACTCTTTATGCGAACTACAATAGTTACAACGTATTGAGTATGCGCTGTTAGATGTGTGATCGAGGCAATCAACCACTTATGATTCGATTAAGGTCATTCTATATCCGAGGGTGCTGAGGCTCAAGTATCCACTGAACGATTTAATCATTCAACCATATAATAAACAAATTAACCTTTGATCCTCCCCTATGGGTGACTGTTCATTTTGTCTCCTTGCAATTAGTTCCAATTTCATTTTATCAAGATCAACCCTAGAATTATCGAAAAATAGGAGGAGTTGTGTAAATACTTAATATCATGTCTGGCGAATCATCGTGATTTTAATAGATAATGAAGAATAAATGGATATTCATTCTCCATTCTATACATTTATTGACAATAAATTTTTATTCATCATTTGTTCACATACATTAGGAGTGGCTACTATCACTTCGTATCATACTGCTTGATGTATTACGTGAAACTCTATTGACTGTAACTACTAGTTTACCTTTAAATAAAGCATTATTACAAACAGTTCATCGTGCGAACAACCACGATGTAATTTGATCATAATAATCTTTTATGTCTTATATTACGAGAAAGTTTCGTTTTGTATGAAGATAATTCAATAATTATTTTTACATGTGAAAAAAATCTATCGGTTTTAAAGGAACGTAAAGATTGATTTATGAACAGAGATTTTAGCGCATATCGAGTACTTTTTCACCTTCTATATATGAAATTTGCACATTTATATCTATTCAAAAAGTTATTATCGATTATTTACTGTTGATATAATATATTCTTGTCAAATTATCCCGTTGATATATGTTTTATTTATTGAAAAAGAAAAAAAAATGATTATAATAAATTATTTCTTGAACAATTATTACTAAAGCAATCTAGATTTGAGATCGATATTGGACGACTTCGGATTGGTGAACAATCAAAGAAAAAGAAAAATATTTATGAAAATTTTAATGTACAATTGAAAAGAATCGTGCTATTTCATGATGTCAACAATATTGAAAAATATTTAACTTGAAAATAAATACTTAAATTTTTTAAATAAACTATTTGATATTTCTATAATAAAAATTAACAGTCACAAGTTGAGACGGAATATAGAAGTACTCCTTATACTCAGGTTAGCTCAGTCATTCTTGAGAACTAACGGGTGGGGTAAAAGTTTTGCAACATTTTTTATTTTGCATATATCTTGTCGTAGGTAAATGATAAAAGCTTAGTTTTTTTTAAAAATAGATGCGCCTTGAAAAGCTCTACAAGAATAATAT